CAGTTAAATGTCTCTGGTTTCTAGTCTTGGTCTCCGGATAGGTTGTACTAATCTGTGAGTATCTCCAGAACTAATTTTCTTTTAAAGGTTTGTGATACTTGCCCAGTGTTTGGGATGTGCTGCAATTGAGGATACCTGGCATTATTTCCTGCATCGACTCCTTCATTATAAGAGAATATATAAATACATCCACAAAGTACATCATGAATTTACTGTATGTATTGCCTTAATTTTCTTGGATTACATAGTTAAGCTATAATCATATACACACTTACCAGAAAGAAAGTTCCATGAAGCTCATTGGGACCTGCTTTTGTGTATGATTGCAACCTTAAAATTTTGCTGCAATGGGCATGTGTTAGTTAATATTTTAGGAAATAGGGAGAAGAAACTGGAAAATGTATTATTTATTGATATGATTTCCTTACTGTTGCCCTTTTTGTATCAGGCCAGAGTGATCTCCAAGAGAAGGGGAAGAGTTTTAACTTAAATATTGCAGTAAACCAACACTTTTTTTCTTTCTTACCTATTAGTATTTTTCTTAGCTAACCTGTTATTAAGCAAGAAGTATATTGTCTCTTTTCTTTATCAAGAACACAGAGCTCTTTTTGTTCTTAGCATCCTTTACCAACCGTACCTCATGATGAATGTTAGCCTTCCTGGCACTGCCCCAACAATACGGGCTATATTGGTTCGTGTTCAGTTGCGCTGCCTTTGAAACGGCAGTGATACATCTTAACCAGCCTTGGTTCATCATACATTGTAATATAATTGAAGGTCAGATGCAGTTTCACAAGATGGGCATATCTTTCCTTCTGTAGTGGTAGTAGCCTCAAATCAAGCAAATTGCAATCTGAGAGGATTTTTGATAACTTCAGAAAGTTTTGCCTGAGTGTGTAATGAGTGTCATGTAAACTGCAAACGTAATAATCTGCACTATATTTTATATATTTTACATATGCCTTATTCTGTTCTGTTCTATTCTTTATATTTATGACCTCTATATCTGTCCACTAGACTAATATTGACAAGACTGCCGAGCAACAACTCCACAGGCTCTCAAGAAAAATCTTTTCCATCACTTGATGCCTTTCATCCTTTAAGTGGAGATAGTCAGAGGATTTTTGCAGAATCAGACCATTAAGATCAATCCTCTCTCCAAGTTCCATCTTACATTTCATCTTTTCAAAAAATTACACTGTGAAACATTTTTATATTGTCAGCTTTCCTTGAATAACTGATTTGTGTCTCTGAAATAAAGAGTAAGAATTTAGTTTCAAGCAACCTCTTTAGCATGACCTTTTTAAAATGTCACAGAAAACTTCACTGAATACACATTATATAAGTTTGCTGATCTGTAGCCTCTTCTTCGTGTGCCTTTAACTCAGACAATATCCACGGTTCTATAGCACCCACTGCCTTAA